AGTAAGCCTGATTACCTGTTTGGACTTCTCTGTTGACATCCGCCCTATGGCTCTCATATGACCTTATGCAGTTGTGAATGCGGTAAAACTTACTAAAACTAAACCAAGCTAAAACTAAAGCTTAGGGCCTACGGTTATGAGTCATTTTCCGTGGGTGGAGATGTTTCAGTGGCCTCCACTTAATGTCCCCTATTACAGAATGAAAGACCTTGGCTCTGTCAGCCTGAAGCCTCCTTCGCCCGGAGGATCTCCACTGTCGGCCAGAGAACATTCTAGTCACACTGAGCTCTCTGTGGTCAGTAGAATTGAATTGCCCTTTTTTTCTTTAATTGTTGTTGTTTGCTTGCTTGTTAGTGTGTAAGCTGTAGTGTGATGTATTACAATTACCACTGTGGTTAAAATCTGTAATGTGCAAATTTGAGGGTTTTTTGTTCCTGTATTTTTTTTGTGTGTGGATAAGGTTATTGTCTTTGTCTCGTAAGTTATAGATTCTGGTATGTATTTGACTTGCTGTTAGGTTTTATTGGTTTGTTTCTCTCTCTTATCTCTCTCTCTCTCTCTCTCTCTCTCTCTCTCTCTCTCTCTCTCTCTCTCTCTCTCTCTCTCTCTCTCTCTCTCTCTCTCTCTATTGTTAGATCTCTAGCTCTCTGTCCCCCTCTCTCCTTTCTTCCTTTCGTCTGCCTAGAGTGTAAAGAATTACAAAAAATGTTTTTTGTCTCTATTGTTCAAGGCGAGTGGTTGTTCATCAAGTATGTGGTTGATATGGTTTTTAAAGACAGAGATAACCTCGCTCACACCAGCTGAAACATCCTTCCTGTTCTACTTTTGTTTTCATTAATGTTTTATTACTTCTTTTTTTTTTCTGAGTCTAAGGCCCTAGAAGCTTTGAGAGGATGAATGAAGGAAAAAGGTAGAAACGTTACCCCAGAGTGAATGTCACATACATATGTCGTACATCTAAATTTGGTTCTTTTTGTGTGCAATATTTAACCTTCAGAGGAGTTGCGCTGCCTATTGATTCACTATGGTTCTATTCCCCCCCCCCCCTCTCCCAACCCACTAAAGGCAGTACTTCTTTGCTAGGAATTAGAGAAGAAGCCATGTAAAACAAACTAGTGATTTGTCTTGTATAAAGAGTCTCCACTCATGTTCTATTTCTCTTCTGTACTCTATGCACGATCTGCTCATTTTGTGATTGCTTGTGCTTGTTTTCGCTTTAGATTAGAGATGATTTTTGTCTAGATTTCCTACTATAACATACCTTTAGAAGACTGGCTGCTTCTACAAAATCAAATGGGACTCTGGTATACTACATTTCCCCGAGTATTTGTGTCTTTGCTGGTGAATGTGACGTAAAAATGTTCCTTCAGTCCTGTTCAACAATTCTTACATTTTAGAAAACTGTACAAATTCTGGCCTATCAAGCTAAAATTAATAATTGTTCACAAAACTGTAACAGTTGTTGATTATGTAGTCTATGTCTTTTGTCTCCAAGAGTTAGAAAAGTTTCGAATTGTCAAAGGATTAACATCAAATCTTTTTCTTTTCCATCTCTAGATGACATCAGATGAAAACTTGAGTGCCATGGATACAGGGCCTTCGGTCATTGTCACCCCGGCAGACAAGGTTTTAGAAAATGGAGAAACCGTGTCTCAGCATAAAAGTGAAAACCACAGTGATGCTGCAGAGGCTGTTCAAAACACCAACCAGAATGGAGATCTTGTTAGTGGCTCCGCCCCCGACTGTGATCCGCCAGCAGGAGCGGCAGGAGTGTCGGATTCTCCGTCTTCCACGAATCGAAATGTGACGTCTGAGTTCGCAGGTCAGCCTGTTGAGGCCAATGTCGTTGTGAAAGGTCATGAGTTGTGTAATGATGCTGACACTTCGAGCACTGAGAAGGGGATCAGTGCTAGTGATAAACAGGCCTTGGGTGAAGATTCCAGGGAAGTGGACAGTCCAGCGAAGAATGACGGGGTTGTCAGACAGCAAGGTCAGAAACAGTTGCTGCGACAACAATCTAGTATAGTGGACATGGAGGGCTTTAGTGAGAGTGCTATAGACGAAATTAATGAATCTATGCAGCCGTTCAAGGAGATTGGTGATCTCAGTCATTTTAAAGCTTCTACTGCGGACGGTAGCAGCACAGTTGCCCATGAAGAGGTCACTATAGTCGTTCACCAAGATTCCATTGATAAAGAGATTGTGTGTTCACCTTTTGCTGATGACCCTAAAAGGTCACCAGTTGCAGCAAAAAAATCCTCAAGGTCTCCTCTTGGAAGGAGGAAGAAAAAAGATGCTGGGGCTCCGAGTGGGGCAAGTTCTGGTGAGACACCGTCTGGCGAAAGAGTAATCAAAGCCTCTCACTTGTGGAAGCGACGGTCAAAGAACAAAAGAAGCCTGGAGCTGGTTATTCCAGAAAATAAAGGCATCTATCGAAAGACTGAAGACAGCAGCGGTGGTGGTACGAGTTTGAAAACTGAGCATGCAGGTGGCGCTAATGGTCTGCCGGCCAACCACGATGAGGAAAAACCTCGTGCGGATAGTAACTCATCCGCAGGGTCCCGGGCTTCGAACTCAGACCTCATCACAAGTGACAAGCAGACACCAGTTGGGAAGGAGCCAAATCGTTCTAAGGAGAATTCCACCCCTGGCACGGCAACCTCTCTCGGAGGTATCAACTTTTCCGGAGCCGCTAATGCCATGAACGCCTTACGCAAGATGCTGCACCTTAAAGAAGAAAACAACAACGACGGTGGAGAGGGGGACAATGGGTCAAGATCATCCGCCGATGACCCGTCTCATGCTGCTCGCCGACGATGGAAAATGATTTTCAACGTTTCCAAGTTCGAAAGTATGGTGCGAACGCCACAAGTGCCTGAGCGAGTGGACGAACGCTTGTTCTACAACCAGAATGTGAAGTTTCCAACCTCCAAGTCCAGACTGAAACTGGTGAGTGTGGCAGGGCACTGATATAAACTTTGTCAAACACATGAGTTGTCAGTGTGATCTTGACCTGTTTCATGTCTTGTTGACCTATTTTTTTCTGACAGGCCATCCTTTTTCTATATTCATGATTTTGTCACCTTTTATTCACCTTTCTGCAAGAAAATATAGTAGCACACTCAGCAAACAGCAAGGTCTAGAGAAGAGAAAAGGGATGGGTCATTAAAGAGAGAAAGGCCACCCCACCCCATCCCAACCCCAAGTTATAGGTAGCAACAAGTTACATTTTCCACAAGGAAAAACATCTGTCAGTTTCAATTGTGAATGTGTTTTCTTAGAATCTTGAGCTTGGAAGTTTGGATAATAATTCAATATTCAAATTTTAATTTACTATGATGATAGATAGCTATGTTATGTTATTGAAATATGTAAAATTTTATTTTGTTATCAGAGTTGTAATGCTGAAGTGGATCAATGTTTAGGATAGATTCAAGGTTTGAGTTTATGTTACACAAGTTGGATGTGTATTAATTTTTTAAAAATTGGTTTGGGTTCTTTTCTTTTGTGAAGTGGGGGTGGGGGTTGTTGTATACAAGAATTTACCTCTAAACCTCTAATGGTTGTGGCATGTTTCTTCTCTACCTCCTCCTCTCCCCACTGTCAAATTCAGGTCCAGTCATTTCGAGAAGGAGTTGACAAGCTGAAGAGACATGAGAGGAAGAGTAGTTTGGAGCTGTATGAAAAGGGCGATCTTAAGGACAGGTAATGATAGTGTTGATGTAGGTCATTACACAGCGTCTACTCCCATGTGCACACAGCTCTCTGTGCTTTACATAAATCCATGTACAAAAAACAATAACTGAAAAAAAATTGATATTTGGGCATATAAATGAAGGCATACATGCACGCACGCAGGCACGCACACACACACACACACACACACACACACACACACACACACACACACGCACACGCACGCACACACACACACACACACACAACACACACACACACACACACACACTAATGCACACTTACACACTTATTCACATGTGCACATACAAATTAGACTACACATACTTTTGTACTCAAGTGCACACATTCATGACTGTGAACAGACTAGAGGAAGTAAAATAGAGTAGTTTGTGTTTTCTGTCTCTTCAACAATGAAAGATTTTAACTAATTTTAAGACAGAACATTTTACAATTCACTCATGTATACACTTTCTCTGCCCTCCCACTCCTTTTCTTTTTTTTTTTTGTGTATGTATGAACCTGTTGTGAAAATGTCTTTATTGCGAGTTAGTTTAATGAGGGTATTAAGAAGGTAGTGTTCCCCTTTTTGTAAGTCTGATCCATGCTTGAAAACACCCTGAGATTGCAGGAGGATAGAAAGTCAGCTACAGAGAGCCACTTTCTTTATTTATCTTCTTACTGTGTCTTCTTTCACACTTTTTATTGTATGCCGGTGTATAGGCCGGTCTATTGGAAGGTTCTATGTTTTTTCTTCTCCTCTGTTTTTTGTTTTTGTCTCTCTTCTTTCCTGCTTTAAGTGGCCATTAATTATTTTGTTTTTGTGCGTGTCTGTTCTCAAACTAAGCTCATTTTTCTTGCCTTGCCTTGAACTGTGTAAGTCTAGTCGTTAAAAAAAATTGGACTTGGGAAAGCGCAGTATCTTGTGGATAATCTTCAAAATTACCTGTTTCTACCAAGGCGTACATTTTTTTATAAGAATAGTGAAAGCAACAAAAACAGTCACTGTAAAGTTATACTGCAAAACAATGAAAAAACCCAACCATGTCTGCATTGTCTTGTTACTCACAATTGATGTCTGTTCTGTTATGGTTAAGCTCTTCACCGCTGCATGGAGAAGAGGAGAATTTGATACCACCGTTGGGAAGTTACCGGGTGATTGTAGGGTGCCACTGGTAGGTCCTACTTCTTTTCGTACCCTCTGTTGTTTCTGTCTGTTTTTGCGTTTTCTTAGTGCTAGATGTTCATTTTTGAGTCGATGTGCTCCTCTTTCCTCAAAGAAACAAAACATGAAAAGAGAAGTTGTTTTATCAAGCATCTCAGTCTGTCTGTTGAGATGCTGCTTTATACACAGACCAGGTTGGCTAGCCTTGAGTAGCAAGGGCCAGATTGGATGCCCCCAAAATAATCTTAATTGTGTCGATGGGGAAGTAAAACATTTCCAACTGATGACTGTCCTCAGACTGCCTGTCCCACCGTCACAGGGAGGGCTACAGCACACAAGCAGCGAGGAGGACATCTTGGAGCGGGGGCTGCTGGGGTCGACCAAACTCTGGATTGGCAAAGATTACGTCAACTTTATTTACAAGGACTTCGTCAATCTGGAACAGCCATTTGAAGGTACTGTCGTCACAATGTCCCATTTCTGGGATTTGTGGAGTGGCACCAGGAAATATTGAATGTTTGAAACATTACAAGTAAATAAGATGCCAATATTGCCGTTAAATCTAGAAATCTGTATTTCTGAAATTAGATTTTGCCACACTTGAGCCTGTTGTATTGCTCTTTATTTGAAAATAGGTTAGATTAGACAATATGGTCCGTAAATTTTGAGTCCCTTTGTATGCATTTCTATGAGGTGTGTACATGTCAGATTTTTTATCGTAGCCGGTTGGCACCTCTGTTCCTTCTAGTTTTTGGAGGTTTTTATATTCTCGTTTCATTTCCTCCTCCTGTGGGTGGAATAGATTATGCTTTGATGTGTTCTTGACTGCTGTGGGTTTTTTTCTGAATGAAAGTAAAGTCACATGGCTGTCGTTATAGTGCAGAATGGATTTCCTGGAAACTACATCTCAGATTCACACAACTTTTCATTCCAGATTTCATTGACAGAACCAAGTGCCCCCGCATGCCCTGGCACGACATCGGCTGTGTGTTGTATGGCAAGAGTGCACGCGACTTGGCCAGGCACTTCATCGGACGCTGGAACTTTACAAAAGTAATGATAATGATCAAAGTCAATGGGTATTTGTGTGGCACATTTGTGGTATTCTTTTTTTTTCTCTCTCTCTCTGTCTTTCTCTATCTCTCTCTCTCTTTCTCTCTCTCTCTCTCTCTCTCTCTCTCTCTCTCTCTCTCTCACACACACACACACACACACACACACACACACACACATACACACACGCACTCACACACACACACACACTCGCGCACACTCACAACTCTCACGCATGTACACAACAGGTCTTTTTCACACACATACACACACGCACTCACACACACACACACACTCGCGCACACTCACAACTCTCACACATGTACACAACAGGTCTAGATGAAAAAGCATATGGCTCTTTTAGATCTATATCTCAGTAGTGGTAAACTTAAACAAACTCATAAAATCATATAATGAAGCATGCCCAATAACCTACAAAGTTTTACCTAAATCGGCACTGATGACAGTTTGCTTAATAAGGCTTGTGGTAACTAAATTGTAATTTCTCACAAAGGTTTGAACTATGAAGTTATTGTATTCTGAGTCTTCAATATTAAAACTTATTGTTTTTTACCCCAAGAACAACAAGAATTATTGTATTCCACATTGGTAGTGACAAATGCTATATCATTTTGGATCCATAACACTATAGTGCGGTCAAAAATTCGTGGCACAATTTATTGTCAAATATTTCCTAAACTATTGAACATAGACTCTCTAGCTGTGCGCAATGACTTGTATCAAGTTGTCTACAGATCAATATTTTTGTTGGCACCTGTTAGCTGTATTCCCAAAAAATTTCCTTAATAAATGCTAATAAAAAATCCAAGTGGGTGGTTTCTACAGATTTTAAAATGCTTACAGCTGGGGCTATATCGCTTTTATTAGCAAGTCGGTCATTTTTGTCTAATAGTAACAGTATGCTTTTTGAATGCATGTTTTGAGAACCTTTAGTGCAAAGTGGTGTTCACTATAAAATTAATATCTTGTTACAAGTTTTGCCACGAAAAAATTGCCATAGGTCAGCTATGACATAGGCCATATGGGTATGCAAAAATGTGTGTTAGAAGCGGGCCGTGCTGTGAACTATCCCATTTTCCGTGTAACAGAGATTTGTAGTATTTTATATAAATATATGACCCAAAATGCTTAATTTAGCGGCAATTGTTGTAGAAAAATATTATTAAGTAAAGACAAATTGATACATACTGCTGTGCAAAGTATGGTTGACATTATTTCGTCCGTTAAAGAGATATTTGAGGATAAGTTGCACCACAAATTTTCTACCGCACTATAAAAGTGTTTATATTTTCCATCTGTAATAACAAAGCTTATTGTGCAACTCTTCAGCTGGAGAAGTGTAAGAAGAACCCCAACTTCCCACTGCTGACCCCAAAGACAACCACTAAAGTGTACATTCCACGCCTTATCAGGGATATCACGTTCGAAGTCAAAGTGCAGGTGAGCTTGACATTGTTTTTACCCTTTAAATTAAAAATTTGTTTTTTGTTTCTGTCTCTATGTCTTCGGAGATTTTTTTTTTTCTTTTTCTTGTCTCTTGCTAATAAATACTCCTTGAGGTGAGAGTGCAGGTAAGCATGACATTGTTTTATACTTCGAATTATAGATAAAGTTGTTGTTTCTCTTTATGTCTTGGAGGGTTTTTTTTGTTTCTATTGATTCTTGATGTAAACTCTTTGAGGTGAAAGTGGTGGTAAATGTAAATTATTTGAGCCTGTATATTATTATGACGTATACTTTTAAGTGAAGCAGCAATTGATTTCTGTTGTGGGACTTACTTTTATCTGGCCCTTTATGACCATTATAGTGTTGATGTGCTTCTTTTTAACTTGTACTAAGATCAAATTCAGTTAGAGTAAGGGCTTTCGATCCAGTCTGTTCGATATTTGCTTCGATTTTTTAATAAATAAATTTACTATGTGTCGTTGTGTGGAGCAGTGTTTATTGACTCGTATTTTGTGGTTACAATGAGCAATATATTTTACTTTATGATAGGTACTCTCTTGTGTACAGGATTATTAGGGTTATTAGTTACAGTCAGTTTTACTAATTTTCAAAATAAGAATAATTCACTAATAGTAGAAGTACTGGCCATCAAACCATTATAATTACATACTATCTCTTTGCAACTGCTTTCAATGTCAATGTTTCAGGTTCTACGGAGTTGCACAGGTTGGTCTGCAGGTGTCGGAGAAACAGAAAACTCCATACACAAGGCGTATGAGCATTGCATAGAGAATGCAAGGGACTTCATCTATATTGAGGTTTGTTTTGTGCCCCCCTCCCCCCTTTTTTCTTAATCCTTCAACTTTTTGAGGCCTGTGTTCTGGGGGGGGGGGGGTTGGGTTAATTTATTTTTGTGTTTGTTTAACACCCTGACTTAAATTGTTTGTGGTTGAAGGACGCCACTGATAGGTCCTACTTCTTTTCTTTCCCTATGATGTTTTGGGTTCTGTCTGACTTTGTAACTTTTTCCCTGTTCAAATTTGCTTTTGTCATATTAGTGTACTTCAGCATACCTAGCTAAAACTAAATAAGTCATTTCAAAGGTGCTGCATTGTGGGAATTCAAGGTTATATTTTTACAAGACACAATCTTTGTTCATTTGATCAGCATGAAAAAGATTATTAGAGAAAAATAAAAGGACAAGATGACTCCTCCCCCCCCCCCCCCCCCCCCCCCCCCCTCTAATCAGCAACCACCCATCTAGTAGCCCTCGTCTCTGTTCCTCGTGACTCAGTGGAGCAGAGGACGATAGGACCAACGCTAACATTACATAAACACCATTCCACATCATCATTCACCACCACCATCTTATCTAAAATCATCATTGCTCTCAGATCCTTGGCATACATCTTGACATGCATCTATATTCCTCGAATCTCTATCTGTAACAGTTACTTGTTATAATAAGTATGTTCGTAATACACTATTGAACACTATCTTTCGCACCTTTTTCTGCTAATCAGCTGGCATCAATCTCAGATAAATGGGCAAGTGACAAAAAAACGACAAAGAAAAGTAGACCTCATCACTTGAAATAACTGGCCACTCAACAACCAGGGCCCCCAGGTCGGTCCAAATCTTTTGCCACTTCACCAAGTGCGATATAGAAGCCTTTTTCCCCCAAGCCTGTTATCCTGGATTATTTGACCTAGAATCTCTGCCTCCTTTCCTGTGAGAGGTTGTGTATTGACATCAACAAAAAAATAAGATTTAAGGATGAGGAACTTATTATTCTCCCCCCCCCACCACCACCACCACCACCACCACCCCGACTGCCCGAAACTATAAAAATACTGTCGAACCTGCTCAAATGACTACCTGTCCAAGACAATCATCTTATAAATGACCTATTTCCTGTTCCTCCCTTGCGTTTCCTATGCCGTAATGACACTGTCAAGAGAAACACCTGTTTAAGATGACCACTTTTCTCCTTAACAATGGGTGTTCATCTTGTAAAGGTTTGTCTGTTTATTAAAAAAATGTAACGAGCTAGGTTGTTCTTTCTAGAAAGTCAGTTATACTGTTTTTAGTTTTTTTATTCTTTTCCTTCAAATTTTAAAGTCTTTTTTATTAGATTTTTGTGTCTCTCATTGAGTTCACAGTACTTTTGAAGTTGGTTTCAACTCCCAAACTTTGAAAATTTGAAGCTTGAGAAGACTAATATTTTTCTGTACTCACTGTCTGTGATCGTCACCCTGTTTTTCCAGAACCAGTTCTTCATCACTCAGACAGGCACCTCCAACACTGTTCACAACTGTATAGGAAACGCCCTCTATAAACGAATCCTGCGAGCACACAGGTTTGTTAGTTATATATTTAGGAGAGTCGTCGCCTGGCACATGTGTGTGCGTGTGTGTGTGTGTTTGTGTGCGTGTGTTTGTGTGTGTTTGTGTGCGTGTGTTTGTGTGTGTGCGCGTGTGTGTGTGTGTGCGTGCGTGTGTGAGGGTGTGTGACAGCGTGTGTGTGTGCTAGCGTGTGTGCGTGCGTGCATGTATTTCCTTTGATCCACTCACACTCTTAAAAATGCATGCATGTGCACTCATACATATACACAAGTGGACTCACACTGAAAGTTGTCCTTGTTTGGTTTGTCCCTGGACATAAAGACATCATAGACCCAATGTGTTTCTCTTTACTTTTAACCCTATCCGTACTCCCTGGGGTCATTTTGTATCCCCGGGCTTGTATTCTTCACATTTTAGAATACTTCTAGTACAAAGATGTCTTTGATACTTTCAGTATTTCCCAAAAAATTATTATGACAGACTGCAATGCAAAGCGTGCGGATCGGATTACCAAGTAAATTTCCTCTTTTGAAAGTGGTGGCACAGAGTTCCGCACGTCGTATAGATACGACAGTAAAACATAACGTACGGATAGGATTAAATATATATGTTGGTTTAGAAACTGAAACCCATGAAGAAACAAGTTTAATTGCATGTATATGCTCTATTTCCACCCATAGAGTTATCTTTATAACAGTCAGTTGTGAGGGATGGAGTAAATGTATGAATGATAGAGGGAGAAAAAGATTGATGAAAGGGAGAGAGATAATATAGTGAGAAAGAAGAGAGAGAGAGGTGTCATGTATTATACATTGAAAGAGGTAAATTAATAGAATTTGATGTGGGTGTATATATAGAAGCTGTTCAAAGTACTCTGTCAATTTCCTCCAATGAGAATCAGGAAAGAATATCTGACCTTCCTCCCCCTTTATGAAGTTGCGAGCATTGTAAAACTTTTACCGAACACTGTGTATCTTCTCCCCCCCCCTCACACACACACGCCCACATTCACCCCTGTCCACACCCCACCCTTAAAATATCTCTTGGTTGTTTTTTTTCATTAGGAGCAGCAGTGCCTTCAAGGTGTACGTGGTGATGCCGCTTCTGCCAGCCTTCGAGGGTGAGTTTGGCACCAACACGGGGGCGGCCCTCCAGGCGGTCACTCACTGGAACTACTCTTCCATCTGCCGGGGAGAAAACTCTCTCATGCATCAGCTCGCCAGGGAGATTCCTGACCCCAACAAGTACATCGTCTTTTGCGGCCTTCGGACTTGGGATAAGTTGGACAACAAGCTGGTATGTTATGTTTTGTTGCACTCTAGACTTTCGTCACCACTGGTTGGTTTTGATTACTTTTGTTCTTTTTATGTTTACACATTGCATGTGCTTCAATTTAATACAGGTAACTATGTGTTTACTAAGGGTTGTACCGTATAATGAACAAATTGCTGAAGTCTTGTATTACACCCTATGATATTGTATGCTAAATATCAATATCATTTCTTTTACAGTAGCTCTCAAAATAATTTAGTTAACTGGAGCCTTGTAACAATTCATTTTTTAAATGTTTGTTACTCTATTGTATTACCTCTTATCTTTTGCACCTATATGACCTAATTGTGTTTGAAGTGTCATAAAACTCTTACTAGAACTACATTAAACTAAACGAAACTGTGCCCATGAGGGAATAAAATATTGACGATCAATTCCTCTTTGCCCAGATGACGGAACTTATCTACGTACACAGCAAGTTGATGATCGTGGACGACGACACTGTCATCATCGGCTCTGCCAACATCAATGATCGCAGTCTGCTGGGCCCTCGTGATAGTGAGATCGCCGTCATGTTTGAGGACATTCACAAGGTGGACGTAGTGGTCAACGAGAAGCAGTATCAGGCCGGCCGTTTCGCATCCTCGCTCCGTTGGACTATATTCAGGCATGTTATGCTCTTTCTGATGTTATTATTACGACATCTTGAATTATTTCTCAGTGCAGTAAAAAGTAGGCTTGCTGATCACTCTGTGCAGAACATAGAGGAAGAAATCTGTCTCGAGTATAATTTATTCTGTTACCATTCAGATTCAAGAAACAGCTGAGTATATCATCAATCTGCCGCTGTATTGGAATAGAAGAGTCGTAGCCTGGTTAAAAACTCATAGCCTTCCATTAAATAACAATCTTTATCTGTGGAAATTGATAAATTCACCCGTACTTACTTACAACATCTTGGCTTTTGTTCTTGGGTCAGCTGCTAAGGAGGGAAAGCATGATATTGGCTTAGCAGGTTTCCTCTGCTCTCTGGTGCAGATGACACTAATTCAAATACATGCCAAACTTTGATCGTTTATGGAGTTTTGACAGCTCATTTCTCTCTGATCACAGCGTGAGATAGACATTATCCAACCGGCATCCGTAGTGTAATGGTTAGGCGCTCTTCTGCTTTGATTTTGTATCCTTCTCAGCCGGGTTGGCCCTGACTGGCAGGGTCAGAAGCTCACCTTCTAAATAATATGAATTATGTTGATTTTGATTTGGGGGAGGAGGGTAAAAGTACCTTCATTTAATAGGGGAAAAAAGACATTACTCTTGAATGCCTTGTGTCTTTAATAACTTTGAAGTATTGAAAAGGATGATAAATTCATGCGAAATTACTCATAGTGGGGTTAATGCCTTTTTCCTGTTTCTACACTCAAACTTCTTTCAGCTGGTTTTATGGTTGTCTTTTTAACATTTTCAATTTTCTCACAGAGAGCATCTGGGTTTGTTGCATGAGGCAGACTTTGTGGACCTGACAGACATCACAAGGGACAGCTTCTACAAGGACGTGTGGATCCGTCGCGCGGCCGTCAACACGACATGCTATGACAAAGTAATGAGGCTGATTCATGATTTCCCTTGTTGTGTTGTTGTTGTTTTTTATTTTTTACCCTGCCCAATTCTATCTTCTGGCGCTTTTGTGTTCAGTAGTTACAACAAAATGTGCAGCATTTTTTATTATGAAATTAGCTTTAAATCTTAGAATAAACACTCAGGAGATGTTGTTGTTGTTGTTGTTGTTGTTGTTGTTATTCCTATTCTTGTATTCGTTTTTAATAGTTGTTGTTTTTTTAGATAAATGCTTGTACGTCAGCTAAAGCGAATTCCTTATAGGAAGAGGTCATTGAAAGAAATTTCATCACTATCAGAGGATGCATATGGTTGGCTAATGCTCCGGTGTGGTCTACTCATTCAATTTCTTTTTCGGTTTAACCAGTACTGTAGCAGGTTGGAAGGCCCAACTGATAGGCTCCTCTTCTTTGCTTACCCCTCTGATGTTTTTCTTTGTCTGTGTGGGTCATGCTCTTTCCCAGAACTGCATGATCATTATTTTGTCAATAAATGTGCTTCTCTTTACTCAAACTGATCTATAGCCCTAACTTTTCTTTTAAAAAGTAGCTGGTGTCTTGCTGACTTGTTATAAGATGCAATTCCGGGCTATTTCTTGATTACAATTTTTTAAAAACAGAGGTTTAGACAGCACATAGATATAGATGTCTGGTGCCTCTTCAATTAGATTGTAAATGGTTGTTCGTCATCATCATCATTTATTTATTATGATATTTCTGGGCAGATATTGCCGTCTGTCTTCAGAAGTTATGATTACAAATTACAGCAACATCAGCAGCGACCTTCAAGTGATTTTACTTTTACAATGTTTAACTGCCTCATTCAATATCAAGAACATGTAGTGTTCCAAACTAACATCTGGCACTCTTAAAAATAGAACATAGGACCCCAAAAATATTTAAAACTTTTTGAATGGTTTGGTTCGGTTTGTCTCTATCTCTCCCTCAAGAAAAAGAATTGTTTCTGTGCTATGTGACATACACTAGGAACTATATTCTGCTGTGGGTGGTTTGAGGACCTTCTCATAATGTCTGCCTTCTTTCTTCTCCTTCCATTGTGTCTATCTATTTATCTGTGGGTGGTTGACGTGTGCTCTGGTGTGGTTTGCTCCTTCTTTCCTATCAAACATATATCTCTCTTCCTTCTTTTTTTGTGTATGTTACTCTCTTATAACACATCTCTTCTTCGACACTTAATATGACCTTATTGTGTTGCAAGTGCTGTAAAACTCTTATTGAATCTTAGAAAAAACTATGTATTTATCTGTTTTTGTCATTTCCAATTCTAAGTCTTTATTTATCCAAGACAGTTAAACCTTTCAATGTTGATCTCTTTACTGGAGGGGGGATTAGAGGGGTGGGGATGATAATCAAGGAGTTCCACTGGTAGTTCTAACTCCATTATACCCTCTTTTTTTTGGTCAGTCTATCCAGATTTTTCTCAACCCTATTTGGTTGTTGATATGCTTCTGTTTTTACCCAAGCTAAACTTCTCTTTGATCGAATTTTACTTCTCTTGACACAAATTACACTTTTATGTCCTCAAACTGAACTCCTTTTCTCAATCTAAACTTCTCCTTATTCCAAACAAAAAAATCAGGGGATGATTGATGGGTGCTGTGGTATGCTTTGCTCCTTCTTTCCTATCAAACATCTGTCGTCCTTATCTCTCGCTTCTGTGTGTTTGTTACTTTCTTATAACACCTCTAATCCAGCATTTATTTGACTGAATTGTGTTGCTAGTGCTGTAAAGCTTACTAAATTTTATTTTTTGTAAAATTGTGTGTTTAGAATTGTAAATGGGCTGATCTAACAATGTCATGCTCATAACTGTGCCTGAACTACAACAGGGAACTGCTGCTTTTTCTTTCGTAATCCTTACTGTCATCATTGTCCTCTACTTCTTTTGTATGTTTGTCACACTCTTGTGACCCGCTATTTTCGGGATGCCTTGATAGTCGAAGCAGACTTTGTGTTGTTGAAGCTAGAGAGGTGAGCAGAGTAAGTCCGATTCCCTGTAAGGACTTCTCTGTTGACATCGACCCCTTGGCGCTCATATGATCTTATGCAGTTGTGAGCGCAGTAAAACCTTACTAAAACTAAAATTGTGTGTCTTCCTAACATTAGGTTTTCCGGTGCCTTCCTACGGACAATGTGAAAAACTTCTCGGAGCTGCGGCAGTACCAGTCGGTGACACCCCTGGCCCAGATAGATCAGGAGGAGTCTATGAAGTGGCTCAACAAAATCCGCGGCCACCTCGTCCTCATTCCGCTGCAGTTCCTACATCAGGAGAGTCTCACGCCCAAGGTGGGCCAGAAAGAAGCCCTGTTGCCGACCTACTTGTGGACTTGAGCTCAGTCCGGAGGGGAGAGGAAATAACTTGTCGTCATTCCTTTATCTCCCCTCCCCCCACTGTAAGCTGGAGAGGTTGCAACCTGTTTGCTGGGAAGAGGAGACTGGAAACGTCACCAGTTTGCTTCCTCTGTGAAGAGGGAAGATGGAAAATGTCTCTGCTTCTTTCCAGTGCCTCACCGCCTCTGGTTGGCTTGAAAGGAGAGGTGGAAAAAATTGCACCTTCCTTTGCACTGTTAGCTGAAGAGGAGAGACAGAAAAAAATTGGAGCTTCAATCCCCACTTTCGGTTGGAGAGGAGAATTGGAAAAGTGGCTCCCTTTCTCAACTTTTTTGTCCCAGAGACATTTAAGATTGCAGTATGTCTTGTTCCTGCTGTATGACTCCCTCGTTCTCAAAGTCTTGTGTCCAGTGCTGATCTAGTGAGTTCAACAGACCCACAAAAGAGAGACTTTTTCAATACTCTGGTATCATATCAGGCAAAGACCAATGGCTCATTTTGAAGGGCATTAATTCTCAATGGCCGCAGTCAATGTACAGCTTCTGCAAAAAAATTGGGCAAATGGGAAGTGCCTATCATAATAACATATCAAGGTATTTTGTCTTTTCACTACAAAAAGAGGACGAGTATGGTTGCACTGAACGCCTTTTGGCATCCTTGCTCAATTATAGGTTTATGTAAAATGTCTTTTGATGCATTCTTGTGATGAAAGTTGTGAGATGAGAGTGTTAGGAAGAATTGACTTATTGCAGGTCTGCGGTGGAGTAGTGTTGAAGAACTGTTTTGTGTGGTTTAAATATGATATTGTATGATTACGTTGATTTATGAAGAGGATTGATGTTGTCATCAGATGGTTTTGTGTGATGTGAAATTGTTAATCAGAGCTATGTGATGCAGTCTTGCAGTGGAAATGTTTTTGAAAATTGTTTCATGCCTTCTGATATTCGAGTTATCATAAATCTTTGGAGTGGGGACACCTGTTTAATATTATTGTTTATTTCAACTGCTGTGGGTGCAGTTGTTGTTCTTTCCCCTTATAATGCAAAGAAACTTTTTTATGATCCTAAACTGTTACATGCCAAGAGAATGGGCTGATTTTATTCATAATACTTATATCCTTTTACAGTATGAACATCTGTGTTTTTACTTGTATTTTTATATGTCTTGCAAGCATATACTGTACTGGTATTCATACATCCTGACTGTGCGTAACAATCTATTTAGATTTGTGGTGAGGTTGATGAGAAATGTATCTCTGGTTAAGTACTTACCGCTTGTGGCCCAGTTGACCCTTGGGCGGTTAGCGGGTGCTCTGGTTCTGTTTGCTCCTTCTTTCCTATCAAACATCTTATCTCTCCTCCCTCTTACTATGTATGTTACTCTCTTGTAATACCTCTAATCTTGAGCACTTATATGGTCGTTTTTAAGCTCAAGGAGGCTATCCCGAAAAATTCTGTTTTGAGAAAATCGAAGGTAAAAATTTTGGACCCTTGTTCAGTTTCTTTAGAAGACAAGGAGAGTTTTCTCTATAACCAAACAAATATACACATCAATGAAACCAAACATCTCCTATAGGTAGGGCAATGCCCACTTTTGGTGTAGGTCAAAATTTCTGGAAACCCTCGAAATCTGGGTTAGCTCGTTTGTCCTTAAAAGCGACCATATGATGTATTCGTGTTGCAAGTGCTGTTTTAGTCTTACTTAAACGAAACTAAACAGGTTAACCCAGAGATTCCTGACTGACCTTGAACTGTTAACGGACTACCTTTGCTTTCAAAACGCTTGTTCTGTTGACCCTCTGTATCTGTGAAGTGTGCGCATCTGCAGGTTCCAACAACAGGCAGATGAGAAAGAAATGCAGTCGAACTTCGTTATACCATACCCCATTATACTGCCAGCCCCACCTACTGCTAGGTTCTACCAATGTATGAAAAGGAACACATATGAGGAGTCTACAGGAAAAACAGGAATAGTCTCTAACTGAAAATTGTGAGGGTATCTATTTTGAACACTTGTTGACTCGTAACTGTACTTCTGTTCGACTGTTGGTTTATTATTGTTGTTAGATTTCCCATTCTACAAACATAATAATAAACCACCAATCAAACAAATATTGTTTCCTTTTCCAATCAAACATCTGTCGTCCTTATCTCCCCTTCTTTTTTAAATGTTTTTTACTCTCTTGTAACACCTCTAACATTCTGGTGCTCATATGACCTTATGCAGTTGCGAGCGCCGTAAAACCTCTCCAGTTTGTCACTTGTTTTTCCCGTGAACTCCTCATGTATAAACATAGTATTTGTGCCTTTACATTGCCTGAGTTATATGGTCCTTAGTAGAGTAATGTTAATTTGCCCTGCCATACTGCCGGCGAACTGGCCACCAGACGTACACACTACCCATGGTGCACCTCACCCACTAGTTCGCTGCCTGGTAATCTCTCTCCCACACCACCTCCGCCTACCTGCGAAATATCTGGGGTTGCCAGATGTGAACTAGATGACCTTGGTGCTGGCGGTTGCCTGGGAGACTTTTATTTTGTGATGACTCATGGTGGCGGTATGACGAGGTCCGACTGTTTGCTTCCAAGGTTGAAATAATACCAAGAATGCGCAAAGGGGGCGGATTTTGTTTTACTTGTCTTTTTACCCCTGCTCAATGTTAAAACATAATTTTTATTTCAGTGCTTTTATTGGAATGTTTCCATTGTGGTAGCTAGACCTACCTGATGCTGATAGTAATGGAGAAATGGTTTTAAATTGTTTTGGAGGACGTGCAAGGGTTGATGGCTGGCTAATCCACAGCTTTTATCTGAGGAATATGAGCATCTCCTTTTATCAAAGTTTGCAGAGGATTCGTCTATGCTATGTTTGCAAGTGCTGTAAAACTTTTACTTAAACTAAAGTACCTCAAAACAGCATGTTCTGAATGAGTTATGGACCAGCCTTCTTATGACTGATGGAACAATCAGGACCATGGCTGTAATCTCTGCTTGAAAGAATGAGCATACCCATCTCTACGATGTGAATTACAGTTGAACTTGTCCGAGACGACCGTCCTGTGTTGAGAGAAAAGTGTTTATCTTGGATAGGTGGTCCTCTTGAACAATGTCATTATAATATATATGGAGAAAAAATACAGGGGGGGGAGTGGGAAATGGTTGAACGTAAAGGTTTGTGTACCGGACAAGTGGTCATTAGTGCAGGTTCGACTGTATTTAAGTTCTGAAAGATTTCATGCTTCTCAAATGAATGTTGAATGCATTTTCTTCTTTTTAACTGGTTAAGAGAATGTGGATTTGAAGTAAGGAAGATTGAACGGGATAATTAAGAGGTATACTTCATTTAGAATAAATTCATTGCTGGTCTTGAAGGGAACACCTCCAGGAGACAAAATATACATCACCTATGTGTTGTGGAAAGTCATCCATGTACTTTGTGACAAAAGTTGTGCTTTGCCAGAGTGTGAATCACTTAAGTTTTTCATCAGGATTATGAATTTTAGAAGGAAGAAAAGAAATGTTTTACAGCTGCTAATACTACTGTATTGTTCATAGAGTTTTGTCTTAGACGTTACTCCACTATAGATCTGTTTCTTGAGCATCGCATCGGTTACGTCTTCCGGCCTGAGGCCATACTTTAGATCTGGTGCTATACCATTGATTTTAAAAAATTTGTATCTGCATGCAGATTTTCTCCCACAGTGCTGCCAAGTTGGTGATGGCGCTGCTGCTCTTGTTGTTGTTGCTGGTGCATCATTTAAGGGATAACTGTCTTGTTTGAGTGAATGGTGTAGTTTTTTTTTTATCTCTTAAATATTTTTAAATCTTTAAAATAATGGGACAGGGGTTGAGCAGTTTTAGATATGCAGGAAAACTGCATAATAATATGATTTTATCATTCAAGGTTTTTTTTAGCTCTACTCCGTCATGTTTTATCATGTACAGAGACCACAGATGTCTAGTTTTATTCATTGTGCTTGATATTTCAAATACTGAAGAGGAGTTAAAATTTCTCCACCGGCATGTGTGGTGTAAGAGTAAGGCTCCTCGCTGTTGCGAGCAGATGTGTGATTGATTCCACCAAGGGAACATTATTTTACCAACTATCTCTCATCTGTCATCTGGGATACTGTATTTCACTCATACTCATCTTGAAATATTGCCAAAGTTGCCCGTCTTTTTATATGATCTTTATTGTGTCGATGTAAAAGTTATAATTACATCTGCGATGTAATAAATTCATTTATACAGTGCATATCCATGCTCTACAGCATGCTCTAGGTACTTTACAACTGTTATTACCATAGGAGCCTGTAGATCAAGACTCAAAAACATTCTCGGCTTCCTGGGAAGTATACTTCATACAATGCAAACTGCAGATTGCACACACTATAACATTAACAAACTGACAAAATCTTTTTCTGCCTATTAAAGTGAAACATTTATAATCTTTTCTGAAGTAGTGAAAGAGGCGCCTGTGATTTCAGTGTTCATTCCAGAAAGACACAGTTGTCTGAAACTTTGTGTATTATGAAGACTACAAAAACTGCTCGGCCTATCAAATACATGCAGTTTTGTTTCTGGAAATAAAAGTGTCCTCCAGAGGCACAGAGGGATTTGAAGTTGCCTGTCAGTCTTAGTGAGAGAATATTGTTTTGTGTATTTAATAAAATGGTATGAAACACTTAACCCTCAAAGCCCTGGTCCCCTGAACCTACAAGACCAGTATGTCATCTCCTTAGAGTTGACTACCAGATGTATACCGTCCAAAGAGGTTATTTTACTGCTAGAGCTTGTGACAGAGACCTCACTCTTGTAAACAAACGGGGGATTTGTGTGCTCACACTGGGAGGGACGCTGAGCATCTATACTGGTAAGGGGGAGGGCATGGCAGTAACCTCGCCTTTGTAAAAAATGACTGGGGATGGGGGGGGGGGAGGATGTGCCTACTCAGGGATGCTGAGCGTCCATGACGGTGCGGGTAGACAGACGCACGCCCATAGCAGGCAAACACGACATCACTGCCCCTGGACTCTAGTACTTTTATGACCTCTTTAATATCTCTGGACACTGAGGTGTGTGTTAGGTGGCAGTAAAACAAAGACAGGGCATGCTCATTGTGTGCTCGGGTCTGTAGAGTTAAAATTAATAGCCATGTCTTTATTCTAAGCCACAGTCTCTCTAAAAGAAAAATGCTACTGAAGAGATGTGTGGCTGCATCTATATTTGTCTCTACCTGTAAGTTGCTAACTGTGGAAATACAGTTATTTATGCATTTATTTACCACACATTTATATAATGATGTTTGCAGTGGGCAAAAAAATGGTTATACTTACCGGTTTTCATATTTTCTTTCGCACATGAGGTGTGGTCTAGATGTTGATTAACTGCCGTTGCTTATAAGCGGTGACCATTGGCAGAATAGGTTCGGTTCTGTTGGTTTGGTTGTGGGAGGCTAGCTAGATTTCCACCATTGGAGGGACAAAACCGCTGATGACCTTCAATAACAGATGCATTTGTTTTCAAGGCTGCGTGTCTGTCAATTGGCTTGGGCAGTTGGTCTATTTACAGTGTGCACCGAAGCCACCAGAAACCGAACCGAACCAAACCGATTCCT